TGGGGGGGGGGGGTAAAAATTTAACGTTTTACCCAATAGTTAAAGTTTGGCAACTAATTTAGGATTGAGGCACTGTTGGTTGAGTGATATATTGATACTCAACTCAACTAGTTCGGGAGAGTTGATTGATTGATATATTGATAAACCAATAACTTAGAAGTTTACTTTTACTTTAGGTTGGAGTTGTGTATGATAAGATGTCTTTATTTGAATCGAATGATGTATTACTAGTGCTTGCCGAGACGATGTATTACAATTCTGCTTTATTATGTGTGAGTAGAATTGGCAGCAACACCATGTCAGTATTTTTCAAGTAATATTTCTCATTTGGAGCACAATAGAAGCAAAAAATTCATATAAGCAATGGGATTAGGTGTAGTTATATTAGACTTACATTATTTAATTCTAGTTAGAGTGTGGTATGCTGCAACAACAACAACATACCCATTATAATCTCACATAGTGGGTCTGGGGAGGGTAGTGTGTACGCATATCTCAACCCTACCTTGTAGAGATAGAGAAGCTGTTTGCAATAGACCCCCGGCTTAGGAAAGCATAATCACCACATTAGTGGAAAGAAAAATAAGAAGGGACACCATCGAGAAGCCATGTAAAAGCAGCATAAATAGCAACAAGATAGTAAGATGACCAAAATGAAAGAAACGACAGATAGTCATAGAAACCTAATACCATTAGAATGCGAGAGTACGTACTAATACTATCAGTATGAACAATCTAGACTACCTAACCTATTATCTTAATCCTCGACACCTTCCTATCAAGTGTCATGTCCTCAGTCAGTTGTAGCTGCGCCATGTCTTGCCTAATCACCTCTTCCCAATTTCTTCTTCGACCTACTTCTACCTCTCTGTAGGCCCTCCAATGTCAACCTCTCACGCCTCCTTACCGGGGTGTCTGTGCTTCCCCTCCTCATATATCCAAACCATCTAAGCTTCGCTTCTCGCATCTTGTCTTCAATAGGGGGCTACACCCACCTTGTCCCGAATAACTTCATTCCTAGTTCTATCTAACTTGGTGTGCTCGCACATCCATCTCAACATTCTCATCTCTGCTACTTTCATCTTCTGGACATGAGAGCTCTTGACTGCTCAATACTCATCGGTCTGACCACCACTCTGTAGAACTTACCTTTAAGTTTTGGTAACACTTTCTTGTCACACAAAATACCAAAATCAAGTCTCAATTTCATCCATCCCGCCCCAATACGATGTGTGACATCTTCGTCAATCTCCCCATCCCATGTATAATAGACCCAAGGTCTTCCCTTCCACTCCTTGATTTGCACCACTGAATTTACACTCTAAGTATTTTGTCTTAGTCCTGTTTAATTTGAAACCTTTAGACTCTGGGATCTGCCTCCGCACCCCAATTTCTTCTTCGGCCTACCTCTACCTCTCCTTAGGCCCTCCAATGTCAATCTCTCACACCTTTCTTATCGGGGCGCCTGTGCTTCTCCTCCTCATATATCCAAATCATCTAAGCCTCACTTCCCGCATCTTGTCCTCAATAGGGGCAACACCCACCTTGTCCCGAATAACTTCATTCCTAATCCTATCTAACCTGGTGTGCCCGCACACCCATCTCAACATTCTCATCTCTGCTATTATCTTCTGGACATGAGAGCTCTTAACTAGCCAACACTCATCAGTTTGGCCACTACTCTGTAGAACTTACCTTTAAGCTTTGGTGATACCTTCTCTCAATTTCATCTATCCCGCCCCAATACGATGTGTGACATCTTCGTCAATCTCCTCATCCCTCTGTATAATAGACCCAAGGTACTTAAAACTTCCTCTCCTAGGATGACTTCTAAATCCAGCCTTGTTACCCCGTGAGTCGTACCACTGAACTTACACTCTAAGTATTCTGTCTTGGTCCTGTTTAACTTGAAACCTTTAGACTCCAGGGTCTCCTTCCACACCTCTAACCTCGCGTTAGCACCTCTTCGTGTTGCATAGGTACAAAATTTAACGAGTCTTTTTTTTTGGATCATAGTCATTTGCCTTTAAATTATAAGTTGCTTCTCATTGGAATGAAATTAACCTGAACGGAATGGATTCTATATGAAGGTTCCATAAATGTGATGCAAGTTATTTTGGCATTGATTTTGTTAATTCATTTTCAGTACTTTTGGCATCCAATGATGCTTGCTGTAGTCAAGGATCTACTATGTTGCTGGTCTTTGTGTGGACTGATAAAGGATGTCAAAGTGATTTAGTGCGAAATCCTAGCACGTGTATCGTGTGTATTTTGGAAAAAAAGGGACCGAAGACATATTTGAAGGAATTACTCAATCGTACATAATTAAAAACTTAAATGCTTACCGCTGTTAGCTTTCTATTATAAACTGAAAGATGTTTATGTGGTTAGCAATTTAATAACTTCTTTGTTTGGAATTCTATTTTGACATGGACTGTTTATGTACATACTATTGTACTTAAGCACTTCCTTTGTGGTTTTCCTTATAGTAATAATATTTACTTACCAATCAAAAGTTTTGTATTCATTTTGTATTGAGCCGTAGTCATTCGATAGACTGTTCTTTTAGACCAGCTGTGGTCTTCTTAGGATTAAGAGAGTGTTATTCGATTGTGTATTGATGGCTGCCAACTAGAGGGAATATTCTTGATCTTCTATGCAAAATTTTCAACTCCTTTGAGCAATCCCTGAATCATTTAGAATAGACTTCAGGAGGCTACCTTTTGCACTTTCTTCTTCTCTTTCCCCATTTATTTGCCTCCATGTCTTGACGGTCTCCCCTACCCGTTCGGAAGGTACCCAAGAGACGTTATTTCGGAGGTACCACAGAGCATTAAACAAGCAGTAAACGAAATCCATATTCTTGACGCCGACTTAGAATTGTGGAGCAAGTGACCAATGCCCTTTCTCCCCTTCTTGCACATACAACACCACCACCAACAAACCCAGTGTAATCCCACGAGTGGGGTCTGGGGAGGGTAGTGTGTACGCAGACCTTACTCCTACCTTGTGAAGGTAGAGAGGTTGTTTCCGATAGACCCTTGGCTAAAGAAACAATAAACAAGAAGTGACCAACAATAGTAACACAAGAAAAAAACAAAGACACTATGTGTAACAAAGATCTAAAAATAAGAAATACAAGAGCACCACTAACAATACTGGTAAGAATGACACAATATGTAATAACAAAGGTCAAGAGACACAAAAATGTAAGAATAATACTAATACTACTGGTAAGACTAGGAGAAACTCTAGACTACCTATCAACCTACAATCCTAATTCTCGACCTCCAAACATTTCTATTGAGGGTCATGTCCTCGATAAGCTGAAGCAATGACATGTCCTGCATAATCACCTCTCCCCAATACTTCTTTGACCTATCTCTACTCTTCCTCAGACCCGCCATGGTCAACCTCTCACACCTCCTAACCGGGGCATCAATGTCTCTCCTCATCACGCGCCCGAACCATCTCAGCTTCGGCTCCCACAATTTGTCTTCCATAGGGGACACTCCCACCTTGTCCCTAATAACTTCATTCCTAATCTTATCTTTCCTGGCTCAACATCCTCATTTCGGCTACTCTCATCTTTTGGACATGAGACTTCTTGACTGGCCAACACTCAGCACCATACAACATAGTCAGTCTAATTACTGTTCTGTAGAACTTGCCCTTAAGTCTTGGTGGCACATTCTTATCACACAAAACACCAGATGCGAGACTATATTTCATCCACCCCGCTCCAATACGATATGTAACATCCTCGTCAATCTCCCCGTTACCTTGGATAACAGACCCAAGATACTTGAAACTCTCTCTCTTGGGAATGACTTGTGTATCAAGCTTCACGTCCACTTCTGCCTCATGCGTCCCCTCACTGAACTTGCACTCCAAGTATTTTGTTTTCGTCCTATTGGACTTGAAACCTTTAGACTCCAGGGTATGTCTCCAAACCTCCAACCCAGTGTTAATCCCACAGCGCGTCTCGTCAATCAGCACTATATTATCTGCAAATAACATACACCATGACACCTTCCCTTGGATTTGTCGCGTCAACACATCCATTGCCAGAGCAAATACATATGGACTAAGAGCCGATCCCTGATGTAACTCCATCAACATTGGGAAGTGTTCCGAGTCTCCTTCCATAGTCCTCACCCGAGTTTTAGCACCATCGTACATATCTCTAATCACCCTAGTGTATGCTACTGGGATGCCACTAACCTCCAAACATCTCCATAGGACCTCACTCGGGACTTTGTCGTAGGCTTTCTCTAGGTCAATGAACACTATATGCAAATTTTTCTTCCTCTCCCTATACTGCTCCACCAGTCTCCTCACAAGATGAATGGCTTCTGTGATCGATCGTCCTGACTTGAATCCGAACTGGTTCTCAGAAATAGACACGCTTCTCCTCATCCTCCTCTCCACCACCCGCTCCCAAACTTTCATAGTATGACTCAACAACTTGATACCCCTATAATTGTTGCAATTCTGGACATCCCCTTTATTCTTGTACACCAGGATCATCAAGCTCCATCTCAATTCACCGGGCATCTTCTGCATCCTAAAAATGACATTAAACAATCCAGTAAGCCACTCCAAGCCTACCTGGTCCGCGTCCTTCCAAAATTCTGCTGGAATTTCGTCCAGCCCAGTCGCTTTACCCCTGCTCATCTTCCGCATCTCCCACTCAACCTCCTCCACCTTAAAGCGCATGTAAAAACCATAATCTCGCTGGCTCTCTAAGTTCTCCAACTCACCAAGTACGGTGTTCCTGTCACCATCCTCGTTTAAGAGTTTATGGAAATATGTCTGCCACCTAAGCCTA